TGAGAGAAAGACGGAAAGCGTGTCGATGTGCCGGTAGTGGTGGTGGGACGGAGCTTGGCCCCCGGTGCGCTCGCGCACCCCGATCGTACACCCCCGACCAACCCTGTGTGCGCGCGCGAAGTCCATCGCTGGAGAACCGTGGCCGGAATGGCGTCGACGTTGGTATGAGTATCCTGCCGCTTCGTACACAGACGCACGAGCGCGCGCGCGCGCGCGCCTCCGCGCACCCACACGCGCCCGTCGCACGTGTATACGCTGGGTGGGTGGGAGAGAGAGTGGGGACCCGGGATGTCGGAGGGTTGCTGAAGTTTCTCTAACGCTCGATGGCGTACCAGTGCGGATCGTGATTCTGCGGGACGCGCAGCGTCGCGGCGCCCTCCGTGTCTCGTATCCCTTACCGATCGCGTTTACGTCCGTTCGTTCTGCGATTTGACCGAGCGGCGCGAACAAACGATCACTTGGGGTCGAGTGCGACGAGAACTACGGTGGGATTGAGATATCTGCGAGGGGGGGATTGGAAAATAGTAACTTGAGAAAAAGATATCAGAGATATATATGACGCCATGATAAGACGCTTCTTATCACTGTGACGATCGGGACGTTGACGCTGAGCGCGGAAAGTTGGACTGTCGTTCGGCGAGGAGCGACGATGCTTCGTCCCGAGGATCACCTGTTTCTCACGTTTCCCAATGTTTTTATCGTTCCTCTTCGCGCTTCGACGTCCCGATGGCCGGGCAGTGTTTGAGAATAAAGGTATCGGAAATGAAGGAATTTTATGCTGAAAGCACATTCATCGATAGTCGGTGTTGAACCGGGTCGGTCGGGGCTCTCTTCATTTCGATCGATGTAGATTGAGAGCAAATTCGCTTAAATGGCCCTATTGCTTAATCGACGTTTGTATTTTCATAGTTTTCCCCCGTGCGTTCCCGCTGCGACTTTCATTAAGGAGTTTCCAGCGTGTAATTGCTTAGATCCTATTTGGAGTAAAAGAGCGGAGAGTGTCGCTTAAAAGTTAGTTGGATTACCATTCTTGTTGCACACTGCGCGACGCGCAGTGTGCAACTTACCGCGTATTCATGTAAGAACCCGGGATCGCCGGATCTGTCCATAAAGACTTGGTCGATTATGACTTAAAGAGAGCGCGCGTTTCAAGTTTTGCCAACGATTAATTGTTTCCTCTGACGGCGCAAAAGACTCGCGCGCGGCCAATTAATTTATTTCACCGTGGCGGAAACGCATGCCCAAGCGTGGAAAAATTCAGCGGACGTAATTGGTTTTTTCGCTCCCTCCCTCCCTTCGGTTGAGAGTCGTAAATTATTAACTGTTCTCCCTGCGAGCCGTGTTTATTAATCAGCCGACGATACTTGCCATTGCGGCATCAATAATATACGTATTACCGCTTATGCAGCAGCCGTTAATCGCTACCGGATGCGACGCAATATTTTTGAGCGCGCGCGCGATTCGGCAGTGTAGAAGTAAAAATAAATGCGAAATTCGGACGAGAGTTCCGGCGAATCGTGACGAATCGAAAATCGCACAGCCGGTGAGAGTGGCAGTTTCGCTGAACCAGCGAGCAGAATTTGATTATTGTTGCATTCCGGAAACAGTACAAAGAATACGAACCTTTGCATTTTATATAGGCATTTTTCTACTTTTGCGTTTTCCAATATATCCGGTTTTTTTTTTATTTATTCATAATTACACCGAGAAATTGTTGGATCGTTGAATAAAAAGTAAAAAAAAAAAAAAAAAAAACTTTACCGCTTGTTTCCATGATTAAAGAACCGAGTAATTCGTAAGAAATATCTCTTCGTCAGTTATCTGTTAAAATCCGTGGATTTCTCATCTCTAACGAGCCAGTGAGAAAGGAATCTGTAACATTCACATTCTCGACATCATCGGATTGTAGCCGTCCGCGATTCACCGTGGAAATTCTTGCTCTCGCGGCGCATTAGCGATTCCGCCGGCGGGCAGGTTCCGCGTCCGTCGGATCGCGGACATCCACCGGCTCGGCTCGGCGCGATTCCGGCGCGGTGGTCGTGTTTTATCTGGATCTGCGGCCGCGGCGATCGGCGAGATCGTAAAACGGCTGGCCGACGAACTCGTTGTCAGTGGTATTTCCAATTGGCCGGCTGCAATGTCGAGAAGGAAACCGGTTCGACGACCAGCCCTGGATGTGTGCTTCGGTCTCCCGCCTCGCGCGCTTCGTCCCGTCCGTGCTCTCTTTCTTTCTTTCTTTCTTTCTTTCTTCGTTTTACATATTCTTCCTCTTACTCCTCCGGGCGTCCTGTATTCACTTTCTTATCCGTAGTCGTACTCGCGAGTCCACCTTCCGCGCCGGCTACTAGACTCGGTGTTACTTTTACAGTGGTATCCGCGGCACGGCTGCGATCACCGGTCGTGATTTTGCACACACGTGTGTTTAAAACGCCGCGATATCGCGCGGTATCGAGATATCGAGGTTCGGCCGCGATAGAGCTTTCCACGCGCTGGATGTTACGCGTGCGAGCTGGTGGTGACACCGTTCCGAAAAACGTTTCCGAAGGAAAATACGGGAGGGAGGGACCGATTAATCTGTAATCGATTAGCGGTCTTCATCGCGACACGCGATTATAAAGTGGGTATCCGAATACGCCGGTGATCGATGCGTAAATGTTTCGCTGGGATTGTAGATCGGTACGAAGAACGCTGAGCGCGCGGAGCGTGAGAGAGATCCGGCTCGATTCCGCAGCTTTTAAAATGGTTAAACAGCGTCGTGAACTGCTCTGAGGCGAAGGAATATCGAGATTCGGCAGTCATGTAGAAGAAAGCCGACGTCGGATCAAGGACTTTGGCGTTGATCCTGCAAGAGATTTCCAGGATATAGATCAACGACGATTTCGGATCGTCGACTTTTTAGTCTCGAACGAAACAAGAACTTTAAGGGGGGATCGGGAGATATTATCTGTGAGGTTCAGTGAGTTCTGTGAGTTGAACGAGGGGACGAGGGAAAGAAGGGACGGGACGTCTCTCCGCCGAGATGTCGTGAATGTCTCGAAGGAACGCTGGACCGTCACTGGCGTGCAAATTTCGGGAATTTTTGCGATTGGTGGAAGAAAAGTTCCTTGTGTTTGGTTTCCAAGTTGGACGGAACTCGGAGACTTCGGGCCAGTTTGTCCGGAAAATTGGCAGTGTTAGTTCACGAGGATTTTCGCAGTGCATCGTGGAAGCTTGTGCAAGATTCTACCTATGAGTGATGCCCTCAGACGTAACGTCGGCGAAAGTTTGGCCGTTAGTTCCGCTCCGTTGAACGATACCGAGAAATCTTCCTCGCCGAGGGCTGATTCTTTCGCGCGATTACGCGAGGCGGAACAGCACGGTTGAGGATTCCGAAAGAGCCTGCGCCGCGCGGTTCGCCGCATTCTGCTGTCGCGATTCATTTATAATAATTGAAGCGATCATGCGTCGCACGAACGGTCGCGGTAGCGTCGTCAATGGCGCACGTCCAATCTCCAATCGCTGCATTAGGTTACGGATTCCGCGTAATATTGCGGATATTGCCCGCGTATGTACCAGTGTATATCCCGACGATCGAGCTTAGCTCGCGAATCGATCAGAAGAATCGTTTTACTTCCGCGACATCGAGTCGCAGACGTCGACCGCCCATTAAGGAAATATCGGGAAAAGGGAAGCAATAAAAAAAAAAAAAAAAGGAAAGAAATCTATTGAAAAACATTCCGCGGGCAGTTAAAAATAATTAAATCGGGCAATTACGCGTGCCTACCCTGCGCGCCCGTTAAAGCGCAACGTGCACAAACCGCAGTGAATGTGAAAAGTGTCGGCTTCGTTATATCGCGCTTGTTCGTAACTCCTCCCACGTCGGGTTTCGTTATATCGCGGCGCCTGCTCATTCTCATTCTCTCAAGCAGTGCCCCGAATATACACACACGAGTGGTAGATCGCGTGTCTGCGGTCTCGTGCCCCGATGCTTGTCGTTACACGTCCGATCGTAAGTGTAACAAAACTTCCTGTATACGCGGTATCGCGCCCGGTCACGGTACGGTAAAGTTCGCGCTGCTATGGACCGGCTCGCCGTTTAAACGGGGACGGGGATCCTATCACCGGCTAACGGAGAGAGGAAGATCGACAAAGGGTGATATGTGTGTGGGATACCCGCTTCGGATCGCTCTCGGCTATCGGAAGTCGAGGATTCGCCGGTACGGTGACACTCGCATTTAGGCACCTGAAACGGTCACCGAGAGCAGGAAGCAGAAGCGGCAGAAGGAGTGAGAGAGAGAGAGGAGAAATTGAGGGTGCGTGAGCGGTTCTAATCAACGTCGATCGAGTTAGATTAGGGTCCAAGTGGTTCCGAAAGGGACGCTGATAAAAGCAATGGACATCATGGATACGTGGAAGCGCGGACGGATAATCTATGCTTATCTCATATGGGTCGTCTTCAAGGCTGCCACGGCGGGGGGGCTTTACGGTGAGTATACATTCGTCTTTCTGATAGTGTCAAGAGATTTCGACGCACACTGCCACTCTTGCTACTTTGTGTGTTGAACGAGAGCGTGTTATTACGTCGTGGCGTATCGCGGTCTTTATTAAACTCTTATATAAAAATAAAAGTACATAAATATGATTATAAAAATAAAAGTAGCGGAGTCGGGAGGAAATAACTCGTCTTTAGAATGCCTTAGAATATAAGGAGAACAGCGGCTTCGCGCAAGAAATCGCCGGGGGGGGACTATAAAGACTTCCGGTAAACATTGTCTCGACTATTCAACGCTGCGCGCAAGACACGACATCAGAATTATTTTAACCTTTCGATCGCCGCTCATAAATAGAGTCGCGCTGAGAACTGCTGCCATTGACTCCGACCGCGGTGTAGGCTATAAATGTAGTATATTGATCGTATTCGTGTTGCTTAGTGAAGGAAAGTGCGTTCACATTACGCATATTTTAATCTTTGCATACGAGAATAATCGTGCCTTGGATTTATCGATAGGCCGGAGTTGTAAACAAATGTAAAAAAATCGACCGACCGACAAAGCAATGTTGGTAAAAAAACTGAAAGCTTTGTAACAAAAGCTCGATTGTGCAAGACTCCGGCGTTGACCGGTGCGAACTCGTGGAAATTGTGGAAACGTTAATTAACGTTTGCTATGGAATTTTCGCGGTAACATAAATGCGGAGAAATATACAGCCTGAATTCTTAACGTACGTGCGGTTTTAATGATAATGAAAATTGGCGAATATTGCAGGTGAAAAATAAAGAGTTATAGGGTGTGCGTTTAATCTGCAGACGTATCGTCTCGACTTTTGCGATTAATTTTCGAGCTGTTGAAATAACGTACTGTGACACCGATATCCCATCGCCCTATCAATCTGCCGCGGATAATATTCATAAACTCAGTCATTATCGTATCCACGTATTGCCACATTTAAGCATTAATTTGTCCCATCAATGCGTTATGGATATTATTCATAAACTTTATGCCATTATCATATTTACATATTGCCATTTTTAACCTCCATTATCCGTCTTTATTATTTTATTCCGTTACTCTTTTTTTCCACACATTTTATCCGTTTTAACATTAAACCTTTTTTTATTAGGAACATATAATTTTTTGAGCGCAAATGCGATGATAAAATCACATTATCTCTGAATTAATTCCGTAGTTGGCACAGAAAGAGAGAGAGAGAGAGAGAGAGAGAGAGAGAGAGAGAGAGAGAGAGAGAGAGAGAGAGAAGCGCCGGGAGATAATAGACACATATATTTAGTTTTCATTAACACGTTGAGCGAGAGCGCAAAACTATCTCCTGCCGTGTATTGTTTTCGAGGGATATTCAGGAATTAATGCCAATTGGAAGAGCACGCGGTGAAAGAGATTCTGATGCTTTGTGTGTCGTTAATGAGAAATACGGCTTTGGAGAGTGTTTCGGTGGACGAGCCCTCATGGCGGAAGCAGGTAGTCGTTTAAATCCCGCAATCGGTGCAAACGTCGTTCGGAGAATTTTACATTGTCCTATTTTGCTCTCTCGCTGGTTTACCCAGGTAGCGGAACGCATAAAGGAGAGCTCGGGTAAAAGTGGATGTTACTTCCACGAGGAGGAAGATGCGCGCGCGCGCGCTGCGAGCTGCGCTCTCTCTCTCTCTCTCTCTCCTCTCCTCTCTCTCTCTCTCTCTCTCTCTCTCGAGCTCAACGGCAGCCAAGTTCACATTTTTCAATTTGTATCTTCTTACGGATGTACGTGGAGCTAGCCAGCAAAGCCAGCTATTCTTGCGTCGGACTTTGTGGTGTGAGCGAAGGTGGAGAGCCAAGTATGAGAGCGTGGTGCAGAGATATCGCGCAACGGCAACGATGCGAGTGGCATTAATTAAGGGATGTTGCGCGATCGCCGACGTTGCTGATTGATCGGTGTGTGTACAGCGTCATCATGTTCGACAGGGTAGAAAGTGTGCACGACGATACGGATTGATGATGATTCCCGTTCGATATCGCGACGTAACGCGACGCGGTGCGCCGATGCGGTGCACATTTTTCATCCGCGCGTACACCGTACGGCACACGCGAATATTAAATGCTACGTTATCATCGTGTAGATTAATTATGAATCAACGCGTAACCCAAATAGCGGCGGCCATTAATTAATGCGTGTCAAACCGTTGGGACGCACGCGGAAACCGCGCCGGGCTACGCTATGCTAGCCACCATCATCGGGACCTAACGTTCTTCCGGTTCCGTATAAATCTCCCGTCGCGTCAACGTTTTCACGGAATACCGTCGGCTTTAATGAACACTTACCGAAAGGAAGGGAGGGAGGGACGGGATATCACACGTCGCGCCGAATGTAACGCTCGGCGGCAACGACTACGGGCGGTGTATTCGACGGGACGGGAAGGGATAAATGAACCGTACGCGCGGAAGAAAGGGTCGTAGCTCCGGAGAGATAGCGCGGTGCCGCGCCCTGCGAATTAGACCTAAGGTATGCGGCGTACCCTACGTGTAAATACGTACGTGTACACGTGGTGTGTATGCAAGTCACATAGTAACGCGGGCGTTACAACGCTGCTGCACACACGCCGCGACCGTATCCGTACATCCGACTTTCGTGTAAATTGGAATTGCAATTAACGGCTACATTTGCTACGGTCCAGCGTTACATCGCCTCGTGGCCGGGGAGAGGCAGCAGCCCGTCTTCCATATTTCTGTACCCTCTTCTCCCTTGCGACCTCGTTCTTCCGTGTGTCGGCCAATTACGTATTCTCGAACCACGCAAGAATTTACTGTCGCGTAACCGCTGTCCCATCGGCTGGTTAAGAGCACGGCGGCACGGAAACCGAAGTCGATCACGATCCGGGTGGGTACACCCCATCGCCCATGGAAATCAGCGGTATCGATTTCCTGTCCGAAGGATCCTTGTCCGAGAATTCGGTCGTTCTAAATGTTTCAAAGCGGTTAATGGAATTCGTCAGTGACAGAAATTAGACGAGCGGAATATGCACCTGCCGCGGTGAATTCGCCGCGGAATAAATTTATTTTGTCATGAATTGGGCTTTTGGGTCGTCGGAACAAACTGGATGACGGTATGTAGTATGTGCACCAGTATGAAAATCCGAAACTAATTTCGCAATTAGCCGCAATCCCGCGCGGTGAATAAATGTTGTATTTCGGTAACGAGAATTTGTAAACCGCGGGAGAGTGACAAAAAGATAAATATCGCAACGTTAAATTTTCGACCATCGTTAGATGCGTAATCCGGCCACATTTATATTGATTGCGTGTGCATCGTTTCTACAATTTTCGCGACTGTACCCGCGTCCTAGGCAACGGACATAGCGTGTGCTGGAATAATTTGTCCCGCTGTCGTTGTTCTCACTCGGCCGTTGGCGTTCCGTAGGCGTTGCACCCGACAACTTCATTGAAAATGCAAAAGACGTTTCGTATACTCGGCAGTTAGCGCGGCAGCGCTTAAATAAGCCGACCGAGTTCGCACCTTACGTAAAGCGTTTAATCCACAGTGTCAAATACATATCAACATGTATCCATCGTGGATTACCAGAGCGAAATAATCCCCATCCGTGACGTTATCAAATATTATTACCATGGCGTCCTGCTAGGTACATGTTGCGACTATGATCTGCTAATACGGAATATTCGATTTTACGACACTCCGCACACTCGTACTGCGCAAATTATCCAAGCACACTTGATTTGCCTGCCAAAATTATATTATTTTATATATAATACTTTTAATATTGCGATATTAATGAAAATTTGAGCAATGAGATAAGAACAAGGTTAAGGTCATAAAATGTAAAACTCAGTTAATCTTTAGATTCGTAGCCCGATTTTAATACACGTAATTTTCTAATTATGGGTCGTTGTAGATCTCGGTATTTTTATGCACAATTACTTCAGTAAATCATAACATAATAGTATTTTTATACAAAATGTTTAATCGCTCAAAATGTAACATAAAAGGCAAAATAAACTATTCTTATTTAAAATTTAAAATATGGCTAAAAGAATATTTAATATAAAATTTTTTTAATTAAGAATTAAAGTTATTGATTAAAAATATGTAACATTTTGTGTAAAAAAAAATTTATTTTAAATCTATTATTTTTTTTGCGTTTAGCCACATTTTCATTTTATGCTTTTAATTCTTTCCAATATCGAAAAAATTTTCTGTTGAAATTTTAATTGATTTAATT